ATATGATATATAATTTGTATTTTTACTTAAAAAAAAAAGAAAAATTTAAAAGGAAATGCTCATGACATTTTTGCTAGGAGGCAATGTAACTAGTCTAGTGCTGATCTGATGTTTCATAGCATTCAGCACTATGAACTAATTATTATGATTATTATGATTACAGGTACAGTGACCCCTCCATTAACGAACTCAATCCGTTCCAGAAGGTCGTTCGTTAACCGAAAAGTTCGTTAACCAAAACCATTGTTTCAATGGGTTTTTGGGTAATTGGTTCCAGCTCACCGAAAATTTCCTAAATTCAACATAAATGGTAGAAAAGTTCACTTACTCTGAGGTGTGTATGTATAAGGCTCCTGGATGATGATGATGATGATGATGATGATGATGATGGGATTTAGAATGGGGGTGGAGGAGAAGGAAGAAGAGAAGGCATTGGGGTGGAAGAGAAGTCACCCCATGGCGCCATTTCACCCATAAAATTTTAGCTCTCTTGGTGTAATTCAAGATTATTTTCTTTAAATCAACACTGCACTGCATTATATATTGTCAATATGTAAAATATATTTCAAAATGACCAATAATTTGCTTGGAAACACGGAGAAAAAGCGTTTAGTTGAAGGGAGTCTCAAGCAAGATGTTCCTCCAATAAAAACAGAGAGAGACTAACTCCTGTTTGCTGTGTTAAGAGGCTGGATGCCGCGCATTAAACTAGTCACTTTACCTTCAATTATATTCAATAATTGTTAAAATGACTAAAAAATTGAATATTAAACTTTTAAAATTATTGAATAGTATAAACTTCTTGATATTTACTAAAATAGTAAGGAATTTAAGCCCTAGAACCGATTAATGTATTGGCGGACTGATACTAAAGCTGGTTGCCCGGTCAGTGCAAGCGAAAACATGTTGAGGTCGGTTCGTAAGAACTTCGTTAACCGAATTTTTTTTCGTTAACCGAATTGAAGATCCTTATGGAAGGCAGTTCGTTAATCGAAATTACGTTAACCGAGGTGTTCGTTAAACGAGGGGTCACTGTATTATTATTATTATTATTATTACATTTTCGCCCCCCAGGCCCCGATGTGAGTCAGTGACCTGTGCCCGAGTTGGCTAATCCCTGTTTAAAAAATAAATAAATAAATAAAAAATAAATCACCTGCATAACTGAATTATTATGCAGAATATAAACTTTATCATTTTAAATTGTATTGTAATTTTTATTTTCTCGTTATTCCCATTGATCCTTTTGGATAATTTTATTTCAGATGTCTATTATCCTACATTTGTTCTGTTAACCCCTTGTAGACTATGTCTAACCCCCTCATTTGGAGACACCACTTTTAATATTTTATTTGGCTAATACCAGACAATTTTGATCAGCTCAGAGGCGACCCCATACACAAGGGAGAGTTTATTGGTGTGAAGTAACTGTTGGTTGGTATTATAGAAAAACTAGCATATTATGGACGGTAGACTGACAAGTTGACCACTACCTGGATGTGATGCTACCTCATCAAGCATGAAGCAGTGCGATATGTTTGGTTCGGAGTCATTAAATGGAATTCCCCTTCAAAATAACTCTTATATCTTTCATTTCTAAGAAACGACAAATCGGTTTACTAAGATAATAAAGAATGTGTAAATGAATAAAAAGAAGGTGAAGATTAAGAATGTGTAATTGTGTGAAAATAGGTGAAATTGTGAAAATGCTGCTGCCAACCTAACCGTATTTTCTTAAATTTTTTTTAACACTTTTTCATTGCTGTATTCTAATAAGGTGATATGTTTGTAAGTACTGTACTGTACTGTACAGTACATGCATTGGCTAATACTATGTGTAATTTTTATGAGAAAATTTTGCTAAAGAAGTGTGCTCCACTAAACTAAACCTTAATGTCTACAGGTCCACAATCCCTTATCCTAAACCCTTGGGGCCAGATGTATTTTGGCATTTTTCGGATTTCAGAATGGTAGTACGGTACATATACCCTATATTATGGTAACATCCTAACGGGGTCTGTGGCAACACCCCGTCAGCAAACACATTAATATTTCTGCAATGAACCTTATGAATATTCACAATGAGTGGGATAAATAAAGACTATGAATAGTATTACAGGTTATTTGTACAGTAATAATTTGGTAAATTAAGTCGTGGGATAAATAAAGTCCATAAATACTCACGTACAGTTTATTTGTAAGGAAAACATTCAGTAAGATTTTGACATATACTGGTACAAGCTAAGCTTAATACAGGTGCTCCTCTACTTACGAACGAGTTACGTTCCTAAGGCTTGTTTTTAAGTCCAACTTTATTCTTGTAGATACCAAACATAATGTAAAAAATGAAAAGAAAAGATTATGGATATTTAGTACAGCTGTACCCTTTAATACAACCTTAAAACCTGGCTCACTCTTCTCCTCTTAGGTAATGTTTGTTCTTTCTGGAATTTTCTTCAAAATAATCCGGTCTCATCCACATTAAACACCTGTTCTGGCAGGGAATCCCCCTCAGTGATGATGTTTGTATCTCTGAAGGTTTGTAAGTTGAACGTTCTAAAGTAGAGGAGCACCTGTACCTGTACATATACATGCAGTAACGTTACATTACATCTGGCTTGATGATCTTGAAGAAGAGGGTACATCAGTGTTGTCATCAGGTTGGAGTCGGACATCTGAAGATGGGCCAAGAACAGGACTATCAAGTGATGAATCAGCACTATGACAGATGGCTTTTTAAAGAATTCTTCCAGTGCCATCTGTCTCATTACCATTGATTAGGTTATGTAACCTGCAAGAAGCTCTTGCTCACTGATAAATGCATGTTGTTCAAGGCCATTAATTAACTGATCACACATTTTCACTATATCGTCTATGGGGATTTTTTCACCTGTGTTCACAATGTCATCATCATCATCACTACTATCCTCATGCTTATATTTATTTAACACCATTTCAGCAATTTCCCCATCACTCAACGAATGCACAACAGGTGCACCATTGTCAATGTTCAGCACTTCTTCAATGTCAGCTTCCTGTAACTTATTTACACTTTCTGATGATAAACCTTCAGCTTAAGTAAGGAGGTTTGAAATCATCATCTAGTTAATGAAACAAAATCCTTCAAAGTCTTCATCTGGATGTTCATTTACATCAAACATCATTGTAGGCCAAAGTCTGTGCCAAGCATTTGTTAATGTTAGTTTATCAGCATCGTTCCAAGCATTAGCAACTGCGTAAATGGCATCCTTAACATTGAACTTTTTCAGGAAGCTTTGGACTCCAACGCCTCTGTTGACTGCATCAAGCATTAAGTTAAAAAAAAGTCTTTATATTTGCTCTTCATGGGGGGTAAAATTCCTTGGTCAAAAGGCTGTATTAAAGATGTCACATTGGGGAGAAAGTAAATGACAAAAACATTACTTTTCACAAGAAGTTCAGGAGGGGGATGTGCAGAGCAGTTGTCCAGGAACAATAAAATTTTACAGTTTACTTCCAGTCCTGCTTGCCTGCAATGAGCTAGTACTGCTGGTACAAAGTGGTTATTGAACCAGTCAGAAAATGTTTCTCTGGTTACCCATGCTTTCTTGTTCGCATAATAATGCACAGGAAAATTTCGTACACCCTTCAAACATCTCGGTCGTTGGCTTTTTCCAATCACTGTCAACTTTAACTTGTGTGTGCCTACAGCATTGGCACACCCAAGAACAGTCAACCTGTCCTTAGCATCCTTAACACCTGTTGGTGCTCTCTCATCAGCTGTTGTTAATGTTTTTCTAGTAATGTAGTGCCAGTACAGAGCTGTTTCATCAGCATTGTAAATTTGTTCACGGCTAAGGTTTTCATCAGATATTATTTTGGCAAATTCGTCAATGTAATTTTCAGCTACTTCATGATCAGCAAAACCTTTTTCACCACAGATTTTCAGATATTTTATCCCATGACTTTTCTTAAATTTCTACAGCCAACCTTCTGAATTTTCAAACTCATCTTCAATGTTCAGTTCTTCATGGTATATTCTAGCTTGTTTCATGACCAACAAACCAGTCAGTGGCATACGTTCACTTCTTCGTTGTCAAATCCACTCAATCATCACACGGTCAAGATCTTCATTCTTTGCCCTATGCAATGTTTTCCTATTTTTCATTAGTTTATGATCACCACTGTCAGTGTAAAACTTCAACAACTTGTCTTTCTGTTTCTTTAAGTCATATATGTTGGTAGTTCCCACACCATATTCTTCAGTAAGACGCCCCACAGGCACACCACGATCAAGCTTCTGTAATAACTCCACTTTCTATGCGATGAATAATGAGAGATGCTTCCTTTTCTTCTTCTCTCTGTTACCCAGAGGGGTATCTGAAGCTCTTTTTGACATTTTCACAGTGAAATTAAACTCAAAATCACAATATCACAAAAAAAAATATCAGAGAACAGCAGATGCACGTGTGACTGGTAGCAGCGCTGAGACGCAACTGATGCCTCACACTGGTGTGGGTCAAGCTTCGGCCGCGTCGGGTCATGTTCGGCGTCACTCTGGGTATGTCGTGCACACGAGTGATGCTCCACCAAAAAACTGTAGGTTTTCAGAGCTTTTCGGATTTCGGATAAGGGATTGCGGACCTGTATCGGGAACTTCAACATAAAGTGCTTTGGGTAGTAAAATTTTTATTTTCTCTAAACTTTTTCCCTGCAGAAACACACTTTTGGTCTGTTTCTAAAATAAAACTTAACATTCTGATGTTATTGTCATTGATCTTGAGATTTTAGTGTAAATGATTAGAGCGAAGAGTAGTATCATCACTGTGAAAGAATATGTAAAGACAGTTTTGTGGAACTTGATCAAGGAAATTTTTTATTTGTTCAGTATTAGTTCACTTGAGTAATTAACGCTTGAACATAATAATCAGGGATGGGACTTGTGAGGATTGCTTTCAAGATGAATTATTATTTTCTTTCAGCTGTCTCTGCTGAATCTTATGTATAGTTTCAATTTTCAGGTGACAACTTTGCGTCTCAGCAAGGCAGGAGGAAGTATGACAGCCGTCACAGTTCCAACTGTCAGTTTAGCATCAACTATTCCTGTGGCAACAAGTGTTCAACCTCTCACTGCAGCACGGCTCTCTCAACCAATGCCCATAACCTCTGATGGCTCTGTAGTAGCACTACCTCCTGGTCCACCTCGTCCTCCTCCACCCCCACAAGCTCAACAGCAAGCACCTCCTCAGTCACTGGCTCCTCCATCCCAACCAGTGGGAGTGGCACCACCTGGACCTGCTGTTGTAGGTTCAGTGGGTGGGGTTCAGGTATCTCTAGCACAAGTATCCACAGTGTCCCTTAACCCTCAGATTGCCCAAGCCACCTCCATGACCTCCATGGCTCCACCAGCGGCTCAGAACATGGCACAGGCAATATCTATGAGTGGAGCCACTGGTCACTTAGTGTCATATCCTATTATGACGCAGCCAGGTCTTAGACCTCAGTTACAATGAAGCCAGGCCAGCCGTGGCCCAGTCACGGTGACAACGACAATTTGTGCTCCAAGTATTGTTCCAGTTTCTGATGTAACTACTCGCATCCTTCCTTCAACTTATGTTACCATTTGGAGTGGTCCTGGTAGGCAGGGATCAATATAATTTTTAAATCCAATGGAGGAAAGAATGTATGAGAGGAAATGTTGCTCCCTGTGCAGTTATATGCACATTGCTTGTGACAGCATCCCACTTGCATTCAATAGAAATGGAACATCCCAAAAAGTTGGTATAGAATCTTATCACTGAAACCTAATGTTCTTATAGCATTATGTCCCTTAGGCAATTTGGGCTATTTAGACATTAATTTATTGGAATTAGTGTTTCTGGAATACAGTATATACCCAAATTATATGTAATGTATTTTATGAATCAAAATGTTGGGTCTTGGTTTACACATTATTTTTATATTTATAAGGTGATGTAGACTTTAATATTGAATTCATATACAGTACATCAGGAAAGTACATAATGGTATGATATTGTTTGTTAGAAGCGGTAGATTACCCATTGTCTCAAATGTGTGAAAGCTTGGCAGTTCTCTATGGTGATTGATCTGTTTGTCTCCTTGCAAAATTATTTTATTATTTATTTTATATTTTTTCTAAAATCAAGTATTAATAATATATAATTTATTTATTAATATATTGATTATGAAGTATAATCTCAACCAGGTGTGTTCTGTGGGCACAGTATTTTAAGTGATCAGACAGCATCCACACTCTTCTCTGGTAGTCTATGCTACTTGTGGTTCCAATAAGAAAGGAAATTTCTCTCTAAAATTGTACTTAAGTGTTGGAATCACATGTCTCATTGATATTTCTGTGATGATGGTGTTTTTTCATTAGTAAGTGTAAGTGAAGACTCATATTGTATAAGAACTCAGTCTGTTACTAAGGCTGTGAAAATATTCATTTCATCTGTGTCTTCTTTATGTTGTACTGTATATTTCCACAGAATTTTTGCCAGGTTTACTTGAAGTGGTCACCTTTTAGTGTCATCACAAGTAATGTCCACCTTAGGAATAATCAAATTTTGTTTATAAAAATTGAGATTCTTATTACTATCTTACAGATTGATGTACAAATAATTTGTTGATTTCTCAGAACTCACTGAGG